ATGTGATAATATATGATTGTGTTAGAATTTTTCAACAAAATAAAATATTAAAAAAAAAAAAAGATCGAGCTACATGTAGTTTACATAATAATTTACATACATATGATATGAATAGTAGATTGCTAGAAAATGCGTGAATGAAAAATTTTTGATTTACGTGTAATATTATTTTAATATACAATGTGTGGCTGAAAAAAAGAAAGAAAAATTACATTTTGAAAAAAAAAAAAATCAAACGGGACCTTACGACGCTAACCTATTAAATTGCATGTTGTCGAGAAATTCAAGTTATCATCAATTCACCTTGTCTTGGTCGGGGATTCTTGTTTGGATTTTGATACTTGTACATCGGGGTTTACCGATCCCTCACAACAAAAGGGGGCCCACGATAAATAAAAAAATTGTGAACCCCCCATTTTGAGGGGATCAATCAACCCCTGTGTAAGAGTAGCATGGTTCTTATTGTTTCCACAGCCAAGATCAAATGTCCAAGGGTACTACCCCTACTCACCACTACTCAAATAAAATAAAAAATAAAAAATCAATCTGTAAATTTCAATTTATTTTATTTTGACTTTTCCTAACTTCGTAATTAAACACTTTCTTAGTATCCCTTAGCACCGTTTCTGTTTTCCAAAGGTCCTAAACGGGCAATCCCCATTTTCTTGTCGGAGCTTTGACACCGTCTCTCTCTCTCTCTCTCTCTCTCTCTCGCAGCTTCTAAACTCTCAAGCTCGCACCTACCCCCTGGTAATCTTCATCACGACTCTTTAATACGTACAATTAGGGTTTTGCTACGTTAAACCTTGATTAATTTTATGAAAATTCCTATAATTTTTTATTTTTTTCATTTGTTAATCTCTGAGGTGATTTCTGATTTCTTTTAGTTAACCTCTGTTGTTTTCTTGATAGGTCGTTGCTGTGATGCCACTCAAGTTGATCACACCTCAGTGACAAAATTCAGTCTTCTTGTGAGTGTACTTTCATTTGGTAAGCTTGCTTATTTTTCTAATTATCATGTTTGCATATTCATTGGGAGGTTGAATATGTAGACAAGTAATCAATCTCTTACACAATTCGTGTGTTTTGTCTGGTTCTCTCAATTTCGTTCTTAAGTTGTTCGACTTCCTATTTCTGTGTCTTTTGTAATCGTTACCAGTTTATCTGTTTTTCTGATCTCTCTAACTTGCTTTGAGTATTTGAATAACCTATTTAAGTTGTTTGTTTGGAAATTTAGCACTTCATTTTCCTAATGTGCGGTTGTTGATGAGGCTTTGATGATTGAATATTCGCCGTTTAACTCATATTTGCCACTTTTTTTTCCCTGCTTTGGAAAGGATTGTCATTTAATTCTTTTGGGTATTGTCCGTACAGGAGTATTTTCCTCCAGTTTGGGTTCTGATTTTCTCCTATAAAGTAGGGTAGATGGAAATGCTCATTTCAGTTTGAAGTATTCATTCAGGAGATTGTGGAGCTACCACAATGGCAGATTTCAGTCCTCCTAGGACTGATACTTCCACCGATGCCGACACTGAAGATAAAAATATGATGGTGATGTCTAATATGCTTTTCCATACAATATGTTTAGTTTCTCACCTTTTTTATACATAAATTGACGTATACATATCAACTTCTACCAAAATGATTGTATACTCTTTTCAGTTGTGCACATTTTCCACATTCCTCCTAGGACGATAATCTTTTATTGGTTATTGGTGAGTTAATATTGAGATTCGTTTCTTCTGCAGTTTCAAATAAATCAATCACAGGGTATAGAGGCTTCCAATGGCAATGATAAGTACAGAGATCAAAAGGTTTTCAACCATAAAAAATTGCATGTATATGTGTACCTTTGTTTTAGAAAATATATATGAATTTTCATTGCCTCTTGCAGACTGTGCGTAGGCTTGCTCAAAATCGTGAAGCTGCCAGAAAAAGCCGTTTAAGAAAAAAAGTAGGTTTTATGTTATTTCTTTGTTTACTGCCATTATAATCCTTTACATTTCTGTTTCTGTTAATGTATTGGATCTAATACTAAGTTGTAGCCAGATGGTCTATCATAAATTCTTAGTCCAGATATTCTGCTTCTGATGAGTAAATGGTCTGTGTTGAGCATATTATCTGTTGCATCTCATGACCTTTATGGAGTGTTTTAAAGCCTTTGTATGCACACACAATGCTCTACTTAATGTATGTCATGTAAAAGTATACTCATTTGTTCATTCATATTTTGGCATTCAGGCTTATGTTCAACAGTTAGAGAGCAGTAGAATGAAGTTGACACAACTTGAGCAAGAGCTCCAACGAGCTAGGCAGCAAGTCTGTTCCGTCTCCTTATTATAACATACTTTTTTCCTTTCATATGTAATTTCTTCTCTGCCTATATTATTTTCCTATTTAGTGAATATTCTTTTCCATTTCTGAAGGGCATATTTGTTTCAAGTTCAGGAGATCAATCTCAATCTATGGGTGGAAATGGTATTGTTCTCTCCTTCGACATGCTGACATTTATTCTTGTATAATATGATTTTATAATTAGAATATAAGATGAAAATTATGTCCCATTATAGAATGTATGATTTACTGAAGAAAAACAAAGAGAGACATGGGAGGGTTGTCACAGACAAGGGAACGTTATAGGGTACTTGGAATTGACTGGGAGGGTGTAGAAAGGTTCAGGGAACTAGTGTGGTTAGCTTTGGGTCTGACCATTAAAGAGCTCAAGGAAATTGGCATTGAACATCGCAGGGAGTTGGGAGGTTAAGATAGCGTGAAAAAATGATAAATGAGGAGAATAAACAAGATCTAGATCCTAAAAATCAATTAGAGTTCTTTTAACTATGAACGGTGAAGAGGTGCCAATATGAATGCAAACTCAAGAAGTGAAGGGAAGTAATTGGACCTGAAGAAATTAGATAGAAATTGTAACTAGTAGTTGTTATTGATTATGCTTTAATTTCTCTTCTTTATACCTTTGATATGATTTTCTGGACTAAGAAACTTTATCGTTTTTATCCATAGCCGTGCGGTGGGGAACCTACTCTGCTTTCTCTCAACACTGATGAACTTCATTTAGAAGAAGAATGAGAATATGAGAACATGAAGAAAGATGGAAATTTTGTGAAACTCCAAATTATAAGAGGTCAAATGGCTAGTGCACTCATAGTATTCTTATATTTTCTAAAAACTGAAAAACTAAGCTACTTTAGTGAAATACAATCGAAAATGATCCTTCATAAGTGGGAAAAAGGAAAAAAATCACTGAAAATTAAAATGTAGAGAAAAAAGATGCTATAGTTTGTTGGAAAACTTGAAGTAGGATAATGAACATGTAACCACACTTGGCACATATTATGCCGTGAAGCTACATCCATTTGTTTAGTGGAGCTAACATGCAAGTTTGGGATGTGAGCTGTTGTTCTATTGTATATATTATTAAGGACATGTATGATGGAGGAGTCACGAGTGTTAGATGTAGTAGTTTAGTAGTAGAGATTTCTGTCACTTTAGGGTTGCATCAAGCTATCTTCTAACATTAGTGATGGACAAGCTTATGCTACGCATTTAAGATGAGGTTACAGTGTTATCCGATGACGGTATAGTTTTTGGATAGGAATGATTTGACACGCCACCGGAGCTGGCGTCGATGTCCAGTTCAACGTGTTGGACAAGACAGGTGGCGTGCAATAAGAGAAGAAGAGGCCCTAATTTGTTGAAAAAAGAGGAGCGTCAGCTGTTGAAAGAAGATGAGACACCAGCCACTGACTGGTTGAAAGACGAGGAGATGCCGGCTGGTTGGGAGAAGAGGAGTTGCGGGCTGCTTTTGACAAGAACCAGCAACTGGATTTGGAGATGACAAAATGTGGAAATTAGGCAAAACAAATCTTAAGAGCTAAAATGGACAAACTTGGAAAATGCAAAAGCTTTGAAAATTCAAGTAGGCTGTTTTGAATGCAACAGGCTTTGTAAAATTGAAATGCTTGAAGTCCGCTGTAATGCTTGAAAATGAAATGCTTTTAATAATAATCACTCTTTTAGAAGTGACCAGCCTTTTAAAAATGAAACGCTTTTAACATAGCAAAAAGAATCAACTTACTTTTAGCTTTGCAAAACTCTCCTCCAGCCTTCAAAATTTCATCTCCATTTGAAGTATACATAAAAGGAATGAACTCGTTTATAACAATGCAAAACCCTCCTCCAGCCTTTAAATTTACATCATCTCCCAAATTCATCCATTTCCAGAATACATAACAAAATTAAAACCTTTAGAACAGAAACACAAAAAAGAACATTGTTCCATTTGTTCTACGGTGCTTGGAACTTAAAGGTCTTAGGTTGAGTAAAACCAAGACAAAATACATGTAATACGACTTTTACAATTATAGGAACAAGGATATTAGTGAAGGTACTATAGAGGATTGTGTTGTCTTCGAAAGTGGCTGTTTTAGGTATGTAAGTTCATTTTTCAAACAAAGAACTGTCCTTTGAGCAACTTTTCAGTCTCATGAAATTATGAACTGGTAACACACATCTTTACAGGTGCCTTGGCCTTTGATGTGGAATATGCTCGGTGGTTGGAGGAGCATAACCGACGGATTAATGAGCTAAGAGGTGCTGTCAATTCACATGCTGGTGAAGGTGAACTTCGGATAATTGTTGATGGCGTCTTGGCACATCATGATAGCATTTTCAGGATAAAAGGGGATGCTGCAAAGGCTGACGTCTTTCACATATTGTCGGGCATGTGGAAAACTCCTGCAGAAAGGTGCTTCCTTTGGCTTGGTGGATTTCGTTCATCTGAGCTTCTTAAGGTGAGATTACATCTACTGCTTCAAGTGTTTTGCCCAAAAGTGACTGGTGAACTAGTTTGCCAAATTTTTTCTCCATACTCTCCTTCTCCCCCGTCTCAAGTAGTCATGAGCTAATATCACGATTTGTTTCTTTTCCACACGAAATTTATTAGAGAGATAATATATTAGTTTTATGAAAAGACATGCTCCAATCATCCAAATTCTCTTTCTTCAATTTATTCTCAGTTGGTGCACTTGTTAATGCCTGTCCTCGTTCTATCCGTTGTAAAATGACTTCAAATTGATGATAAATCCTCATCTCTGCTATGTTAGTTTTAGATACATTTTGTCCATCAATGACTCGTCATAGAGTGCCATGAAGATGGGGAACAATCATTACTGAACTATTGCCAATATTTTAATATTAAGAATAAAACAAACAAATCAAGTAAGAATATTGAAAGGAGTCAGCAATAAATGACAAAAATCAGCATAAAATGATGCATGAGCATTACTTATTTGTTATGCTGGTGAGCATAAGTAACTCAACATTACCCAACCTTTAGATGAGAGATGTTGTATGAAGTGCAAAACATAACAAGCAAAACAATGCTTGAGACAATGTAAAGGCACAATTCAAGACATACAAAGTGTTCAACAGGAAAACGACGTGCATCAAAGAGTACACAGTATACATAGGATATAAGAATTGACAGATACTTCTATGATAAAAATTACATGTTAAGTCCGAAATAGGTTAATATACTGTGTACCATACTGTAAAGAATGAAGAAAAAAATACAGTGAAGTGTATAACAAGTGTAATGATTGGAATTTAGATGTAAAGGTGCATGTGAAGTGTGCATGCCAACTGTTAAACTTATTCACACACAGACAGAGAGGGGAAAAAAATTGATGTTTATAATGTCTGGATAAACTCGGTCATACATCCACTCCTTGGAGCACCTCTCTGAGCATTCACTAACAACATCAATGTTAATTTCACAGCTTCGACTCTTCAGTTAACTATATAGATGAGATTTTACTTTGAAAATTATGCAGATTGTTAAATGTAGAGAAAGAATATTTGAATACTTTGCTTCCCCTTTTCTTCTCAAAATGTTACCAAGAATCTGTCCTTTTTCCCCTCATTTGTCCTTGATTCCCCCCCCCTTTACTTCGCAACTTTGAAGGCATGATCTGCAAACACAAATTTCATTTGGAGTATAAGTTTTCAATTTAACCTATTATATTAGAATCTAATCTAACTGTTAAATCAATTTTGATTCATATTGCGACATATATTGCATGCTTCAATTTCTAAATACCTTAAAAATTACTCTTTAGGATAACTTGATCCTCCATTGTGATTCTGCTAATGATTTTATCATCCATATTACTACTATTTTTCATCTTAGTCACTAACTTGTGATTTATCTTCCTCACTACTCTTGTCAACTAAAACTATGCCATCACCACGTAACATATACAAGGGGACTCATCTTAGAAAGATCAATGTTAAAATGATGTAAATGTTCTGCATGTCCTGTTATTCCCTAGCTTTGTTTTTCAATCAATATGTTAAAAGAGTGTATCTTCGAAGTGTGGTGAAATTTGTCTTCCTTGTATGTAATAATACTTGAATGCCTTCTTTTGACATCTGGTCATTTTGTGCAAATTGTTGCAGCTTCTTATAAATCATTTGGAGCTGCTGACTGATCAGCAGTTGTTGTCTATCAACAACTTGCAACAATCATCTCAGCAGGCTGAAGACGCCTTGTCACAGGGAATGGAGGCGTTGCAGCAGTCCTTGGCTGAAACTTTGGCGGGATCTCTTGGCCCATCAGCTTCGTCAGGAAATGTCGCCAACTATATGGGTCAAATGGCAATGGCTATGGGAAAGTTAGGAACTCTTGAGGGCTTCATCCGTCAGGTCTGTCTACTTATCATGTAATTATAATCAAAATGACCATGTTTTGTCAAATCAGTGTCAAAACCCTCCTGCGTTTCTTTTTTTTCCCCGTTCCAATTCCTTTGATGATTTGTCTTTGTTCTTTCATACAAGATAAATTCCACACTGTACATTATAAAACTTGAAGAATGATTATGCGACAGGGGCCGAAGGATTGCACTAGTGCTAATCCGCTGTGCGTCATGCTCAATTACGTAACTGGGCTGTCATGCAAGCTTTTGCAATATAGGATCCATGGCTTGGGAACATACGACTTATATTTTGGATGTAAACAGAATCATTGCATGATTAACATTTTAATGAATGGAACCTTGATTTACAGGCTGATAATTTGCGGCAACAGACTATGCAACATATGCACCATATACTGACGACTCGCCAGTCAGCTCGTGCTCTTCTTGCAATCAGTGACTATTTCTCTCGGCTCCGAGCACTTAGCAGTCTTTGGCTCGCCCGTCCAAGGGAGTGAGATCTATATATGCTTAACTCTTAACACCGGCTTCAAATATTGTGGGTCTTGCCTGGATTTTGATGCTGTATTCATCCGTCTCCATCGATCTGTATCAAAATGGTACTGCTTCCTGTCTTCCCAAGTTTGTATGAATCTGTGTTGTATGGTTTTGATTTAGTCAGATGTAATTTTTTACAGGCAAGGTTAATGAAAGTAGGAAAAAAAAATTGTTAATGCAGTTTCATTGCAATTAGTTGAACCTTTCAATTTTTAAGTTGATATGGAGGATCATTTTGGTGCACAAAAAAATGGACAAGACGGTCATTTAAACCACAGGGATATCCAATTGTTAGGACTGGTGGGGTACTGTTTGTGTAAATGGCAAGTATATGATATCTTTTACGAGCAGTAAAAGTGGACGTGAATCCAGTTTTAGTTATTATCAAATTCATTCAACTCTAGCCTAATCTGAAAAGATGAAGGATTTGACGTTTGATTGTTTTTTAAACAAAAAATTCTTGCAAGTGGGTTGGTTGGAATCAATATAATTGAGACTTCTTGATTTCACTTTTCACAATTTAACCGTACGTAGCTCTTGTTTGTTTCCCTTTTTTTTTTTTTTCCCCCCTCATTAAAATGAAAAATAAGATCATTATCTATCACATTAAGTCATCAAATTTGAATTTATATCTCTTGTATGGAGTCTATAATGGTTTTTTCATTCTTATTCTCACAAAAATAAGAAACAAATAGGGTATCATGTGGTAAATTAAATTCTCCTATTTATTTTTTTCTTCAAATAAAACTACATCTATTTATGTAGAGATCAAGGAAGTAATTCATGTTATTTAGGTCTCGTTTGAGTTATATTAATATGAGAATGAGAATAAAAAATATAATTATTACGGATCCTACATAAGATATAGATTTTCAAATATGGTAGTTTGATATGATGGATAACAGTTATCTTTTTTTATTTTAATGAGTAAATAATGGGAAACGTTTGAATCATATTAATATAAGAATGAGAATAAAAAATATAATTATTACGGATCCTACATAAGATATAGGTTTTCAAATATGGTAGTTTGATATGATGGATAACAGTTATCTTTTTTTATTTTAAAGAGTAAATAATGGGAAACAAATAGAGATTAAGTCTCCGTTCATCAAAGATTAAAAAGTACTAAAAAAGTGCTTTTTTTATTCCGTCAAAGTCAAAGCTATTGATCATTTACTAATTGATTTTGACTTAATAGACTAGTGATTTTGAACGGGTGTTACCTTCATCTCGCCTGCGGTGACCGTAAAAGTTTGAAAATATGATTGGTAGAATATTTATATTTAGTCATTGGTTGAGAATTATTCTTTCTTATTCTCTTTCACTCTTTTTCTTCGTATTCATTTTCAACTATATATTCTCACAATAAAATATTATTCAAGTAAATTTAAAATTTTTTCTTACTTTTTAATTACGCATTCTCCCACAATTTACTATTAAAAACTCATTCTTCCCAAGTAAATAAATAAATAAATAAAATAAAAAATTGTCGGGGCTTAATATATATTTTTAAAAAAAAATGGCGCTGAGAATTTTCGTGGGCTGATTTTATACAAAATGGGCCAAGCAAAAACTGGAACCAAGACGAAGCTTCAGCCTTCAGGCTTCGTGAGGGTGATACAGCAGTTATGGAG